GACAGACGGACACCGGACAAAATGTGATCAGAAAAGCTCACTTGAGCTTTCAGCTCAGGTGAGCTAAGAATGTTTCAACAACAGTAAAGACATTCACAAAGACGTACCCAATACCAAAGCAACTCTCTGTTTACTATGATGATCTGTTAATGACTTACCTGTAAGGTACCTCCACACGGTCCTTCCACACCTGTAGTAGGGTCTTCAGCAGCTCTAGGTTATTACGGTACACAGGTCTGGTATCGTTATACACGTAGCCCATCACAAACTCTACCAGACGACTGGACATGGCACGGTCCTCAACTGTGTCCTAGAAGTTACAGAAAACATTTCAGTTTATATTCAGGAAATTAAATAATCACACTATAATTACATCGAAACAAAATTCAATGTAAGTGAGAAAGGTACAGCATTATCTTTAAAACAAGTACAGTAAAGCACAGCTAGAACAGACAGGCTTATAATGAACTCACAACTGAACAAAGTAATTTCCATTCCCTTTTGTTTCAGATGAAATAAAATTGTCTCTTACACTTCATTATAAGAATGTCTTACTGTATTGAAAAATTTGTAATATAATTCATTATAGGTTGAGATTTATATTTTTAATACATACATGTGTAATAGTGGGTGATCTGCCCTTGTTACCTGTGGAATGGCTACTTGATGCCAGGACATTATGGTGACTATTATATCTATAACAAAGTAGTTAAGGCTGGTGAAGGGGCCACTGATGATTAGTTGTGTCAGCGGGCGGATCCAGTCTCTGGCATAGGGGCGGAATATCTGAAATATACGTCATTTGCAATACACTTCATTGTAAACAGTCACCTGACTGCTGTAACTTTAATGACAGATTCAGCAAATACTGTAAACCAACTTTTGTTCGTGTGTGAGAAATATTCGGGAGGTTCGTGAGAGCCTCGTCATCACAAATTTCTCGCTGCGAACCAGTCCTTAAAGTCTCTCTTTCTATTATCAACAGATCAAAACAAAGGCCTGATCGCGAAAATTAGTATTGTCACGAATTAGTTCACCCCTTGGTAGATCGTGAAATAAAGTTGTTGCGAATAAAAGTTGGTTTACAGTACATGGACTTGCACAAGTAAATGTTAAATTTCAGAAAATTAAACACCATTGATACTTCACTATTTTACAAACAGTAGGTGGTTGTATTGACATGGTTAATCAATATCTACTTACCTCAGCAGTATTAATGATGAGTTTGGCAATGAAATATTTGATGTTAATGTGGGTCCTTGGATTCTTCAATTTATCATTAAGACATTTCATCCAGGCTGGTAGTTCTGGTACCACACCCTGAAAATAAAAGTACTGATTATATTTCTGGAAGGCCACAAACATATGCTGCATACTGTAAATCACTTATTTTATGTGCAGTTTTTTTTGTTATATACAGTCAATTCTCGAATTATCGCCATTCGATTCATCGCCATTTTCGCAATACCGCCATGATTTGCCAAGAACGTTTTTCCTACTATATAAAATTCTCTTTATAACGCCAAATTTGCATACCGTAAATCTGGAAATTTTTACGTCGATTTATTTTTGCGAATTTGGGTCAAAAAGCTGTTGATTAATTTTCACGCTTCAAAATTTTGCGAATTGTCACTGGCGCTAAAAATTAAAATCACTGAAGATTTACATATCAGGTTATGTTTCAAATTAGTATGCACATTTAGAATACAACCAATATACTCGCAACGCGGCAAGAAATTTCAGAATCGCTCCGAAACAATTTTGATAAGAGTACAAAAGGATTTGCACTGAAAATAATTTCTAACTCAAGTGTAACAAACATTTTAGAGGTTGTGTATGCCTTTTAACCTAAAGTATAATCCAAATCAAGAAAAAATTTAACTAATTTTCTCAACGTTTGGTTTTTCTCACCTAAAATTTACACGCCGCGTTTACATTTGGAACTTTCTAGTAGTTTGAGTTATCGCCCGTGTTGATACACGGTTAGATAAAATGACAGTTCTCTCTTTATTGGCAAATTAATTGAATAAAATAATTAAAAGGGGGCATGCCGCCTCAGTGCTTGTCAAATCATCGGACGATATTGCATATAATGAGGGCAATTTACGCACGGGTAATTAACTTGTAGTTATAGTAGACTAGTGTAAACAGGTTTCTTTTAAAAATGACCAGTGCTTACCGACACCTATTCACTGAGTTAAAAAAAGACACGAGTTCTCAGAAAAAAATATTCTTCGGATGTTGATTTATTTTTAAGAAAAATATTTTTGCGAATTCAATGCACGCGCAAATTTGCTAAAAATTTATCTACAGTAAAAATTTCCAGATTTACGGTACCGCCATCCGCCACCCTGTTTTCTCAACAAACGTCCATTTTTAAGTGTCAATTATCTCGAAATACAGCCACAGGTGCATGTGGTTAGTGAAGCGCGGCTAATTGGTTGACGCTATCCCTGTTGTAAAGCATGCAAAGCCAGGCAAGGTACATGCAATTAAATAATTAAATAAGAATTAAATAAACAATGATTTTAACATGAACTGTTATAATTTCGTTTTCTGTTTAATAAAAATCATTTAGTGACGGCTTTGCCACGAAAGCGGTCGTTGTTTACTAACACAGATAACGATGTTATTTTGATGATCTCTGTTTTAAACAATGCAAAATTTGCTTAAAAAATAATTATACGGTATAAATTGTGAACGTTTTGTTAACAATCATTATGATGCCTTAAACAATGAATTTATTCAAGAATTCATTTTACGTATTATCGGCAATATATCACGACGATCGACCCAGCATTTTTTTTTTCAATATCAGTCGTGCAAAATTACATGCATCCACATGTACTTGTCTTTATTTCATAACTGCACATTTTGTTTTAGCGAAATTGTACATTAAAAATTACTTGAAGTTTTTTAAAATTTAAAAATATGTTTTTATATGTACATGTACATGTAATAATGAGAATAGAAACGCTAAATGGTATTTCTAAGAACGGTAACTCTACTTCTGGTTTCCTAAACGATGGGAAATTCAATTCATTGCCAAATTCGTTATACCGCCATTATTTCTAAATTACAAAAGGTGGCGGTTTATCGAGAATTAACTGTACTATAAAAGCACAAATATTCATGGGGTATTAAATTTCATTTATTTCGTTGTTAACAATTATCAATGAAATTAAAATCCCACATGAAATTTTATATGACTATATATTGAATAGGGTTACTTTCAAAACAACGAAATTAAATGCCAACAAAACTATTTTTGATGAAAAATCAACAAAATTTTATCCCAACGAAAATTTGTGCTTCTACAGTATTCCAAATTCACATTTTTTACAGATGACATAATTTTTATGGGTCTCCTCATATAATGAAAATAACAAAATTTACCCCCCTCCTTCAAGAAGATGTTTAATTTCGCAGTACTTTTTTTACTGTCTCTACTTACCGACTCCACCAGTGGGATGATCTTGGCCCTCTGCATATGTTTGAGGAGAGCTATCATGGTGGCCATACACTCGTGTTGATTGAGGTCATCCATCTCCAGCTCCACATAGTCCTCTTCTACCATCACCTTAGTGTCCTGTCAATGGATACCCGCATTTTAATGAAAAATTCAAAAATGCACAAATTCCTATGCTAATTTTAAAAGCATGTTCTGAAAAGTGTACAGTTTGTACAGTACTGAGCTACAAGAACTGCTTACAGAATCATCCTCTTCATCAGTGTAGCTAGATTTACGAACAGTCAGCACTTTTTCCTTCTGTGATCCTTCTGACATCTAAAAATAAATAGAAGTTGTGACTGACAATAGGTGGGTGTGGCTGTGAAGTCACATTAATTGAGATTACATGGGGAATGGCTGTGATTGACATTACCTGGGGAATGGCTGTGATTCTCATTACCTGGGGAGCGGCTTTGATTGATTGGCATTACCGGGGGAGTGGCTGTGATTGACATTACCTGGGGTGTGGCTTTGATTCTCATTACCGGGGGAGTGGCTTTGATTGATTGACATTACTGGGGGAGTGGCTGTGATTGATATTACCTGTGGAGTGGCTGTGATTCTCATTACCGGGGGTGTGGCTTTGATTGATTGATATTATCTGGGGTGTGGCTGTGATTCTCATTACCTGGGGAGTGGTTTTGATTGATTGATATTACCTGGGGTGTGGCTTTGATTGATTGATATTACCTGTGGAGTGGCTGTGATTCTCATTACCTGGGGAGTGGTTTTGACTGATTGATATTATCTGGGGTGTGGCTTTGATTGATTGATATTACCTGGGGTGTGGCTTTGATTGATTGACATTACCTGGGGTGTGGCTTTGATTGATTGATATTACCTGGGGAGTGGCTGTGATTGATTGATATTACCTGTGGAGTGACTGTGATTGACATTACCTGGGGAGTGGCTGTGATTGACAGTACCTGGGGTGTGGCTTTGATTGATTGATATTACCTGGGGAGTGGCTGTGATTGATTAATATTACCTTTGGAGTGGCTGTGATTGACATTACCTGGGAAGTGGCTGTGATTGACACTACCTCGGATGTGGCTTTGACTGATTGATATTACCTAGGGTGTGGCTTTGATTGATTGATATTACCTGGGGTGTGGCTGTGATTGCCATTACCTGGGGAGTGGCTTTGATTGACATTACCTAGGGTGTGGCTTCAATTGATTGATATTACCTGGGATGTGGCTTTGATTGGTTGATATTACCTGGGGTGCAGCTTTGAGTGGTTGATATTACCTTGGGTGTGGCTTTGATTGATTGATATTACCTGGGGTGTGGCTTTGATTGATGGATATTACCTGGGGTGTGGCTTTAATTGATTGATATTATCTGGGGTGTGGCTTTGATTGATTGATATTACCTGGGGTGTGGCTTTGATTGATTGATATTACCTGGGGCGTGGCTTTGATTGATTGACATTACCTGGGGTGTAGCTGTGAAGTCATACTGGTTGAGGTCTTCACTCAGACTGCTGTCTGCCAGGTACTGAGAGGCCAAATGAAGGGAGGAGCTGGTCCCTCCCTCTGCCTCCCCATTCTGTAGTTCACTATCCTTCACTTCATTCCTTATGGATACATACTGCTTCTTTCTAGACAAAGGTGCCTTGAAAGAAAAATATCAAAACCATATCTTAGATATTGTTATTTACATCCATCTTTTCCAAAACTTTACAATTTTCAGTCTTGCAAAATGTCCAAGATTATGCACGGAAAAATATTAGAAATGCACATATTTGGAAGATATCTCTTCCTACCTTCAGTTCTGATGTAAATTCATAGGATTTTTCCTTGTCAACCAAGTTGTCATAAACAAACTGTCCCTACAATACAATTAAAACTAATATCAATGTAATAAAAAACTCTCATTAAGTAGTCAATTTAGAGGTATTGCATTATGACATACCTTGGCCTCGTCCTCCTTGAAGAGGAATGCGGTGTAGAACTTGGCTTCATTCTGTGTACTGGAGAGTATGGCTATCAGCAGATTATAGGCAGCACAGTGGTACTGTCTCCTCAGTTCTGTACAGCTAGTCTCCCCCTCACATCCTCACCCTTAGCTGCATGTGCTGTCCTACAGTACAGACATAAAGTACATAAAATTGAAATTCTGGTTCTCAGACCCGCGTGCATTCATTTTGAGGTAGCCGCATTGCTAATTTTACTGTATTTTTGATCAAATAAAAAGTTGGTATTGTGGAGACCAATCCAGAAAAAAAAAAGTTCCATCCTTATTATGTTCCCCAAACGAAGTTGGGGAACATATTGTTTTTACTCTGTTTCTTATTATTATTATTATTATTAAGGTCTTCCGTCTTCACGGAAGACCTTATAGTGATTCTACTGTTTCTTATTATTATTATTATTATTCTTATTTTTTTTCCCAAAATTTTGTGCACGCGATTTCTCAGCAACTGTTCGGCCGATTTCTATGAAATTTTCAGGAATTATGCGCAATAAGATGAACTTGATACATTTTTAAGGAAATTTGGAAATTCGCTTCTGGTGCCAAGTTATGGGCAATTTCCTGATTTAAAAATGCAATTTTGTCGCCCCTTTTTATCGTAAATGGCTGAAGATATGACCTGGAGACTTTTTGGAGACGATAGTTCGTGACTTTGTGGTTTGCAGAATCACCTTTTTGTGCGTCGTCAGTTCTTCCGGTCGTTACGGCATGCGAATTTAAAAAAATTGTATTTTCTAACTTTTTTGTTTTTCAATATTTCTCATTTATTTTTGGTATATAAATAGAAACCCTCCCTATAATGCTTACTATATAATTTGTTTGAATGTTGATAAATCTAAACTCTAGATATTAGCATTCAAAAATCTGAAGCGGGTCCAAAATGGCGGCTGTCTCAGTCAACGTCGACATTTCGCAATAGGGGTTTTCGGAGGCAGCCGAGCGTTTGCTTGAATGAAAGTAACAAAAGGATAAATGAAATGTAAAGGAATACTTGGATTGTCACGTCGTAGTTACGTTGCAGTTCTGTGTCAAGCTAACGTCTTCTATAATTGGTTTTGGCTGGTTTTCAAAATAAAAAAAGAAAAGACTAAATGCGCAGATGAAATTCGATACATAATATCTTTTGTGCACCACGGAAAAACAGATCTTAAATCGTACTTATAAGTTATACTGTCTCAAAAAAGAATATCAATGAATATTGTAAGTATAAATCTTAACCACTGTTTTCCTATGCACACTTGTGTCATATTAAACTAATGAATAAGACAAAAATAAGAAAACGTTTTTTTTTAAAGATCGCTTCATGGAGTTTATTCAAGCATTCTTGTCTCAAAGACCTGATTCAAGTTATTGAGCATAAATGCTATCTGATTCCTTGACCGTCGTAGGGCGAGCCAGATTTTCCGGCGAAACGTTTCAACCTATTTTGATTAACTAATCAGGATAGTTCACTTTGGGGATAAACAGGAAATTGAAAAAAGTTCATAACCGTTTCACCGCTTTAATGTCACATGCATATATAAAACAATATGGAATTTGTAAAATGTGTTAAATATACTTTCTAAACCTCGAATGTTACGCTATAAGAACGTTCTTTTTTTAACTCGTGGCGTTTGGCGCTATATTTTGAATAGTGACCCGCCTTTCTTTTTAAGAGAGAAGCACTGTTTTGTTGATATATACAAGTAGATTTAGAGTAGAGGTCCCGATAGCGTAATATTTAGTGTGTTGGAATTTCATGCTGGCGACTAATGTGTTCAATCCCTCTTGTGGGCAAATCTTTTTTTTACTTTTTTAGCTCGATTTTGAGTTTTCTTTCAAGAAAGGGACGGAAGACCTCTCGTTGCTCGCAACGAGTTTCACATCTAGTTATTATTATTTTTCTTCTTCTTCTTCCTGGGTACTTTTTTGTCCGGGAATGATCTTGTAAACTGTTCGTCCGAGGTAGGTAAAACCTTTTTAGGGTAAGTAGACATGTTATGCAGATTTGCGGAATCAAGGTCATTTTGCGCGCACGTGCTTGCAAGAGCGCGCACGTGCAACACTTGAAATAACCAATATAATAGATATAGTCGGAACTTTTCTATTTTTTGATAAAATGCTTTGAAACTCATAATATAAGGATACATTAGTAGTATAGACAAGATGGCATGGTCAAAATAGCAAGATCTCACGCGCATGCACGTGCACTTCACTCTGATTGGCTGAAACTAAAGTCTCAATATCTTTCTTGTTTCTTGTCATAATCTTTTGAAATTTTGAACATGGTCCTACATTATGAAGATCTACAGCATGATATATTAAAATTTTAATAAAAGCATGCGCATGCGCGCGTGCTGTAATCTGATTGGCTAAAACTTTAAATAGCTATATCTCCTTTGTTTTTTGACGAAATGCTTTGAAATTTAAAACATAGTCATGCATTACAATATCCTAAAATATGATAAAGAAAAAATTCATGAAATCACGCGCATGCACGTGTGCTGCAATTTGATTGGCTGAAACTTCAAATGGCTATAACTCTCTTGTTTTTCAACCAAACAGGATGGGATTTAGAACTTGGATAAATATAAGGGACTCCTACAAGAAGGTGTAGTCATTATGCACGTGCTTGCACATGCGTACACTTGAAATGAGTAAAATAAAAAATACACTCGAATGAGTGCATTTTTTAATACTTTTGGATTAAATGCTTTGATATTATTAAAATTTTAGATAGTGTAGACAAGATGATATGGTCGTTACGCACATGAACACGCGTGCAATGCCTATTTTTTTTTTTTAATATATTTTGTATTTTTCTTGGAAGACCTGGATTAAGTCTAAATTCCATAAAGTATTTCTTATTTAATAGAGATAACAGGGAATATGGCACCAAAAGGGAGTTGGGGAGCGTTTGGGGAACATCTGTAACGGTCCCCGTTACAATTAGCACTAGTTATTATTATTCTTTTTTCTTCTTATTTCTTCTCCGGACTTTTTTTGTCCGCAAGTGTTCTTAGAAACTGTTCACCCAACTGAGCTAAAACCTTTTTAGGGTTAATAGGTGTGTAGTGTAGGTGTGCGGAACGAAGGTCATTTTGCGCGCATACGCCTGCACGTGCGGGCACGTGAAATGACTGAAATGACTAATATATTTAATATAGCCATAACTTTAACATTTTCCGATGAAATGCTTTGAAACTCATTATATAAGGATATATTAATAGTGTAGATAATGTGACACTGTCAAATTAGCAAGAACTCACGCGCATTTACGTGCGCTTCGCTCTGATTGGCTGAAACAAAAATCTCAATATCTTTTCCGTTTTTTGACGAAATGGTATGAAATTTAAAATATAAGCATACTTTAAGATGTCCTACAACATGATGTATAACATTTGTCATGAAAGCATGCGCATGCACGTGCGCTGCAATCTGATTGGCTTAAACTTCAAATGGCTGTAACTCCCTTGTTTTTCAACCAACCACGATAAGATTTAGAACATAGACAGACACAATAGACTCCTATAAGAAGTTACGGTCATCATGCACATGCATGCACGCGCATGCACGTGCGCTTTGCTCTGATTAGCTGAAACAAAAATCTCAATATCTTACTTGTTTTTTGACAAAATACTTTGAATTTTAAAACATAATCATACCTTAATACGTCCTAAACTATGATATATAAAAGTTTTCAAGAAACCACGCCCATGCACGTGTGCTGCGATCTGATTGGCTTAAACTTTAAATTCCTATAACTTTTTTGATTCTCAACAAAACAGGATGAAATTTAGAATATGAATAGATATGACGGATTCTTACATTATGCTACTATCAAACTTGAATGCAAGGACTTGCATGCACCTGTGCGCGCGCAATGCATTAAATGCCCGATTTACTTGATATAGTCGTAATTTTTTTTATGAAACGTTTCAAAATTCAAAGAATAGAAACACATTAAAAGTGTAGTCACGATGATATAGCTTTCATGCATTGCACCTTCGCGCGCGTGCAATGATCAAATGACTTGTATACTTGATATGGCCGTTACTTTTATATTTCTTTATGAAATGCTTTGATGACCTTGACCTTTGACCTTGACCTTTGACCCCTTGACCCAAAGGTCACAATCCAGCTCAAGTTCGTAGATGTATTTACAAACTCACTTTAACAAATGCTTAGAATAAAAAAGTCAACCCCCCCCCTTCTCCTTAAAAAAAAAAAAAAAATAACAACGTAGAAAATTTCTCTGAAACTCGATCAACACCTGGGATCGACATAAAATTTCACTTAAGGTGCAGAAAAGACTTCATAGAAAGTTTCCTGAAAGTTTTAAGGTAAGTCTCTAAAGTATATAGAAATTATGAATTTTTACGGCAAAAATTACAAATTCTGTCGTGTTTGAAATTTAAGTGCAGACGAACAAAGATATGATATAAACCTTTTAAAGCCTATTTCTCCAGATGTCGTTAATAGCATTCAATTCTACTGATATGAATTAATATTTTAATACCAAGCATTCTTCTTTTATTTCACCATTGAAATTTATCTGAATTTTTTTTAGAATTACACAATCCCCAGAAATAGCGAGTTTCGGTATATTAAAAAGCAATACACGTTTCTTTCCAGTAAAACCTCACGTGTTTGAATTCATGAAAAAATATTGATAAGGGGGTGTTAAACAATACCTGTCACATTAGCTGACACCAAAAAACCAGGGCACGTACACGACATTTTCTGATTTATTTGCATATGCAAACAGGGCTACCCTCAAATCCACGTGTTTTCCATGTCTTTATAAACATCACAAAAGCACCCCAGGAAGTAGCCTCCTATGCCCTGGAGAAATAGTTCCTGTCAAAAAACTTTATTTATTTATAGAGTAGATAAAATTTCCTAGGCACAGGTACCAGAGTTGTCAAACTGGCCTGGAAGGAAATTAAAAAAACTCTCAAAAGAAAAGAAAATCGGCTTAATGTATGGACCTACAATTGACTAAGTTCATTTTGATTGGTCAATTACCGGTGTGGTACCCCTAGTCGCCTTGAACCCAGTCCTGTCTTTCTGAAGAAAACCAACTCCGAGCCCGATGTAAAAATCTTAGTAGAGAAATGAGAATTTGAATTTTGCTGCCTTATTATGTTCCCCAAACGAAGTTTGGGAACATATTGTTTTTACTCTGTTTCTTATTATGTTCCCCAAACGGAGTTTGGGAACATATTGTTTTTACTCTGTTTCTTATTATTATGTTCCCCAAACGAAGTTTGGGAACATATTGTTTTTACTTTTTTCTGAATTTTCTTCTCCGGTACTTTTTTTGTCCGCGAGTGTTCTCGTAGACTACTCATCCGATCTAGGTGAAACCTTTTTAGGGTCACTAGGTATGTTATGTAGATGTGCGGAACGAAGGTCATTTTGCGCGCACGTGCGTGCATGTGCGCACACGTGTAACGCGTGAAATGACCAATATAATAGATATAGCCGTAACCTTTTAAATTTTTGATGAAATGCTTTGAAACTCATAATATAAGGATATATTAGTAGTATAGACATGATGACATGGTCAGAATAGCAAGATCTCGCGCGCATGCACGTGCGCTTTGTTTCGATTGGCTGAAACTAAAGTCTTTATATCTTTTTTGTTTTCTGACAAAATCCTTTGAAATTTTTAACATAGTCATACATTATGAAGACCTTCAGCATGGTATATAAGAATAATCATGAATGCACACACATGCACGTGTGCTGCAATCTGATTGGCTAAAAGTTTAAATGCCTAAAACTTTCTTAGTTCTCAATAATACAGGGTGAAATTTCTAATATGAATAGATATAATGAATGCCTACATTATTCTACCATCAAAAGTAAATGCAAGGACGTCATGCACATGCGCGCACACACAATGTGTTAAACGACAGTATACTTAAGTCTTTTGATGTTCATGCAGAATTAAGAACTTCTAAATGCAAAGATATGTAACATACTGAAGCAGATCGTTTTACCCTTGACCTTGAAACTTAGGTCAAGGTCACTAGTAACCTGAATAAAATGTTGATATTAGCTATTTACCAAAATGACCTTGACCTATGAACTTGAAATCGACCTTACCCTTTGATCTTAACCCAAGGGTAGAAAGAAAAAATACCCCCCCCCCCCCCTCACACACAAAGTAGAGAATCGCTGTAAAGCTCAAATTACACCTCGGACCCGCATAACATTTCAAGGAAACTGCAGAAAAGAGCTCGAGAAAAGAGTATTAAAATATTTGATGTGAGTTTCCAAAGTATATAGAGATTATTAATATAATCAATTACAAATCCTGTCGTGTTTGAAATTAAAGTACAGATGAACAAAGTTGGTATATAAGCCTTTTATGATTACATGTATTTATTCGGATGTCGTTAATAGCATTCAAATCTACTGATTTGAAATGAAATTTTGATACCAAGCATCCTTTGTTTATTTAACCTTTGAAATTTAATTGATTTTTTTTTTTAGAATTACGCAATCCCCAGAAATACAAAATCAATATACATGTACGCTCCTTCGTAAAAAAAAATATCAGGTATTTGCATTCATGAAAAATATATTAATAAGAAGGAGAAGGTGTTAAAGAATATTGGTCATATTAGCTGAGACGAATGTCTTTTTAGATATCTCTTGTAAATCCCAGAAAGTAGCCTCCTATGCATTGGAAAAAAATAATAGTTCCGGTCAAAAACCTTTGCATGTATATATTTATTTACATAGTATATAAAATGTACTAGGCACAGGTACCAGAGTTGTCAAAATGACCAGAGAGGAAATATATTTTAAAAAATCTGAACAGATTAAAGGAAAATCCCTTTTCTATGTATGGAACTACAATTGACTAAGTTTATTTTGATTGGTTAGCCATCGGCGTGATATCGTTAGTCGACTTTAACACTGCCTAGTCGTCGGAATAAAACCAACTTGGAGCCCGAGGTTAAATTCAGTATAGAATTTAAATGTGAATAGGTATTTCAAAGAATGATATATACTTGAAATGTGGTAACTTTATATCTGTATTTTTTCTATTATTCGCGGGATAGAAAGATGTGTTAATCGCTTAACCAACATGCCATGATCATCTTGCATATGCATGTACATGTACTTGTGCGCCCATGCAAAACGTTAAACGATATATAGTTGATATCATTGTAACTTTAATATCTTTAAATGAAATCCTTAAATACTTAGTATATTTATAAAAGGTCTTACAGGAAAAGCTAGGGCACGAGAAGGGACATGGGGAGCGTTTGGGGAACATCTGTAACGGTCCCCGTTACAATTAGCCCTAGTTTTTTCGTAGTTTAGTACTCAAACATCACTTCCGGTAGCCATTTGCAAAGAGATTTTGGCTACTTTGTTTGAAAATACATTCGAAGACATTGCCTACGATATTCACACGTTGATAAGCAATGGATAAAGCAAACCTTTTGATCAGACATGGAAAGTATAATCTGTGAATAATAAAAATTATTTTTGTTTCAAAGAATATTCGAAAATTGAAATTAAAAAAATACCCCCCTCATCTACTTTTTTGCCAATAAAATGATACACTCAAAACTGCCATAGCGACCCACTGTATTAAGCGACTCACTGTCACATGTGACCATAAAAATTCCCCCAATGCTTTTTCCTATATATTTTACCTGTATTAAACGACCACCTGTCTAACGCGACCAACGACCGTGATTTTCCTGACCATTTTTAGTAATTTCAAGCAATTTTACCTGAATTTAACGACTACATAATTTCCGATTCCTACTTTCGAATTCGGTCGAAGTTATTTATAGGCTATCATGTAAAAAAAAAACTATTAGTAGGGGAAAAAAACTTTGCAGCCTTTTTATACTGTATGAAAAAATATTAATATTTTCAGATGTTCACAATATTTCCAAATATTCAAAAGAATCACATGTGGATCAAGAAATTTTTATTTCTTATCAGGACAATTGTAAAAGCATTTTAGAGTTGAGCAGTACAGCTGTACCTATTAAAAAGTGGAAATAAACATAAGGAGCTATAAAATACATTCAACATACACGTGTGATATTTTCAGCATTGTATATTTTGAACACTGCGAAAAATAAGCAACCTGTATTAAGAGACCACCTGTCATATGTGACCTTTTTTCCTTTCTCCGTTGGAAGGTCTCTTAATACAGGTTTGACTGTAAATAAAATGCCTCTCTCCCACATCTGTTTTGGAGAAAATTGGCCTGAGAATCAGAGAATTAAATTTAGATAGCCTAATAATAAACTTATAGCCAATTTCTCTAAAGTATTAATTTGACATTTGGGAGGTTAAGAATTTCATTCATGTGAATCCTTGGTAGTCAAGACCCGTTCTGTTTCATATTGATGATAATTAGGTAAAATCATGATCAAAATTCAAGATCCACTATATTCAAGATATGGCAAGTTGAAAATTGCCAAAATTCTAAGAAAATAAAGGAATAAGATTTTCCTGGCAAATATGCATATCTACACAATATGTCCTATATATCTGCAAAGTTTGATGAAATTCTGTGCAGCAGTTGCAGATGAGTTGTGCTGACAAAAACAGAACTGACAGACTTGTTGCATGGGGTATAATTATTGTAGATCACTAAATTTTCACGACACCTTATTTAGGCGAGATAGTCATTGCCACTTTATGAGCAAGACAAAATTTTCACGAATTGTAGTGATTGCTTTACATAATCCATAGGAATACTATTCTACGCGAGAATCATATTTTCGCGAGCACCCTGCCTTGCGTAATTATGCGAAAATAAAGTTCTCACAAATAAAAAGTGATTTACAGTACTTACTTCATTATGATTTGAGTCATTTCTTTGCCTGTATCCACCGATTCACACCTCACATCACAGAATTTCTTGTTTAAAGCTGAGCTTTTACCAAACACCTCCTCCTTACTCAGTCGACCGTACATTAATTCCAGCAGCTGAAAACTGCAGAGTTTGGATGTTAACTGGTTCTCCGGCCCAGGGCCCTGTAATAACAGAGAGGTCTGATCTAGGAAGCATAGGATAGATTTCTTTATCCACATGGACACGAAAAATTTTCCACTGTCATCTTAGATGTAAATTTATAATTTCAACACAATCATAAGACTTTATGCAGATACAATGTACTGAATATTTTTGCATAGTCCCTGTGGGACATAAAACAATTATATACACATCATTCCCATGTTTAGCCTCTTTCAATGATTTAAATGATTCCCCAAAACTAAATTTCATTCATTTTCTTCAAAGAACTTAATACACATGTACATGTATTTATTCTCTTCTTAATTTTTTGTATATCATATGTATACAAGCCATGACCTGTACCATATAGGAAAAGATATCCACATAACAAAAAGAAGACTTCAAAAATTTCTATTTATTGATGACCTTCACATTAACTGACCTTGGAAAGTTTAGCTTCTACTGCTGCTCTGAGGTCATTCATGTGGTCAGTGAAGAACTCGATCAGGGCGGACTTGTGGACCAGTCTCAGTAGCGGGAGGGCCACCTTCTCTATAGTGATCCTCCTAACTTCTGCAGGGTACCGCTTCTCCTGACAAAAAATATTATAGGCCACGTCCACGGCAGACTTCTGCTTGGCTGCTGGTAACCTGAAATGTCCCATTGTCAAAATGAAAAATTTTGATGGGATGAGAGGAAAATTTATAAGTAAAGTCAAACATTTTTTAAAAATTTCGCCTGTTTTCTGGTCCTACCTTTTTGTGAACCTGTTGATGGATTCCTGTATCCTTGTCTCGTGCACATGTTTGGTTTCTCTACAGAAGATGCTGATCAGGAGTTCCAACAACATCTCACTCCCTGACAACTCCAGACTGGTCAGCAACTAAAGAGGGTTAATTAAGATGATTAATAACATTGGTGATAAATCACTTCTTAAAAACTGGAATGAATGTAGAACTCATACAAGTAGCATATATCAAGTTAACAGAGCGGTTGAGATCTTAAACATGTACATGTATGTGTGCCTATACTTTGACGTACACGTTTTTATAATTTGTCTGCTGAGATTTTAATGACATGTAACAGTACGTGCACACCGCGATCGCTGTCTTTTGTTTCTACAAAAAGTTTCTTTAAAGTTTTGTGACGTCAGTTTGATTTGAATTAGTAAGCAAAACATGATGAAAATAAGTGCTTGTGAAACTAGACATCCTAAATAATAGTTAACGACTACAATTTCACACATAAATTGACTAATTTTCATGAATAAAACTACAAGTTTTCAATTACATGTAGATGTCATTCTACAAGATCTAAGAACATGTAGCAATCTTGATGTCACTAAAATTGATGACGTAATACACACAGAATTTAGGTTATACCCCTACTAGACGTACCAGTACAGGTACACGTTTGAAATCTCAACCTCTCTAATTAGTCCAATTTATTAATTTTAATTTCAAGATAGTTTAAACATATTGACTCTAATTTCTGCAGTCCTGTGTATCTATTTAATGCAGGAATACCAAATTTTCAATCAATACATATTTATGCACCATGTAAATTCTTGTCTTTTTCTGATCAAAGGGTAGTTGAGGCAATCAATTTATTAAAATGTTTGCAAGTAACTTTGACTCCTTCTTGTTTTTATGAAAAAAATTATGAAAAATGTCAGTGTTGTTATGAGACAGCCTTAGTTTTGTTTTGTCTATAATAATCCTACCCTGTCTACTGCAGCAATGTAGTCTTTGAACTGAGGACTGGATTCTGGGAGATCGGTGCTCTTCACTGGAAAATGGTCTGCCACAAGTCTGTTCAAGCTTTGCCTGTAAAGAATCTTTGATCATCAATTTTATTATCTACTGCATAACATAGATATCTACACTTATGATAAATTCTAAAAGAAAAACATGGCCATTTAGTAAAATTTATGTAAATAATTTCTGTTAACATGCAAAGTCAACACTTACTTCAGTTTTTTCAAGTGTGGTTCTTGTAGTATGGCAAAAAATGGCAAAAGTTCTAGCATTCTGCACTGAAAATCAGAAAGTGTGGAAACAGGTGTAAAAAATCATTCCATAGAGACATACGTGAACTTTTATCCTGTTTATGACAAGAGGGCTCCTACCTTAACAGATAAAGTTGTTTTGGTTTCTGTTAACATCTTGAGATAGGTGTCAAATACTTCTTCAAAGTGTTTACTACCGGTGTCAGTTACCACCTACAATCAAACAAGTGCTTCAAATCAGTAACATCACCTACATATTAAGATGGTCCTATCAAAAAGGGGACTACTTTTCATGCAAAACAAAGTACCTTGCTGTCCAGGAGCACCAGTTTGGTGAGTAGTAACATGGCCATACTGTGTAAATCGGTGGTTGCTAAGCACCAGACAGAGATAGATTTCCAATGCTTGACCACAGATGTAACGACATTTGGACCAATCCTAAGGAAAATAATTAAGAAATTTATTTTAAGTCTTACTGATACCTTTTTAACCGCTTAACCATTTAAGTATTCCATTTCTTAAAATATCCATAAAGAAAGATCATCAGAGGTAATTTTCTTATTGATCTAAAAATACAATTAATATAATGTGCATGAAAAATTGAATACAATACAAAGCAGTGGACAAACACTGAGAATTTACTATTAAAAGAAAACTGCTCATAATATTTACTGTTTTCTGAGGTTTTTGTCCTTGGATACAGTGTCAACAACGGTAACCATGATACTCATCACTCGGTAACTCTGCTTCTGAGCATGCTCACAAAGAACAGGAACTGTCTCACTCATAACTTTGGCCAAATGTACTGACATCGTAGATTTGAAAGCTGTAAACAGGAGCTCTCCGTGACTCTGAGAGAAACCCTTAGCTGTCCCCTCTACCATGGACTGGTCGAGGATCCCAGAAATAACCTTCTTAATCTGTAAAGAAGGCAATAAAAAGAGGCATACTTAAAAATCTTACTTTCTACACGATTTTAATTCATGCAATAATATCTGCACAGCAAGTTGAAGCATTGCACCTTACCTAATGTACTGCAGCTGGAAACCAGCATACAATAATATTATGTCTCTATTAAGTACAAGTACCTGTACTTACATATTTCCAAGACATGCAGACTATTGAAGGTAGTAAATACATTTAAAAACATGGAAATGACATATTAGTGTGATGAACTTCCATGGCTACATGCACTCTCGCCCCTCTCCAATAGTCTGTTTGCTACAGTGTGTCTAGAGAAGACTGAGGCTATTCAGTACTTTGATTCCTTACCTGCACCCCCAGACAGAAGGAGAGCTCCAGTAACCTGGTGGCCGTGACATGTGCTGTGGGGGACAGGGTCACTGATTGTTTGGTTCCTCCCTCCACACAAATCAAACTCTGCAAAGAACAAACAAAACTCTCACTTTGAATATTACAATATTTGAATATCATTCACATAAAATACTGCTATGTACAAAAACTATCTTTCTTACCTTGTGGACAAAATCAAATAGAGAGTTGGCCAGATTTGGTAGTGATGTCCCTTTGAGGATTTTACTCAGCAATCCCACAGTGTGTAGAAGCTGGTAGCCTGACACTAACTGTTGTAGGAACACATGATCTGTAGAGGGATCATCCAGAGATCTACTCAGCAAGCCTAACAAGTCTCTGTGGAATCAGACCAAAACATCTTTAAATTGTAGGTCATTATTTGTAATATAGAAGCCTCTGATGGGACTGGAACGCTACTGTTTTAATGTATTTCTAAGAAAACATCATTTAAAAGAAAATGAATAATATTCATGTTGACATTGCATTATGGGATATATAAGTAGATCCTGCTTAACCTGTCTCCTTGCAGCAGGGATCCAATCTGTTTGCACATCTCTGTCAAGATGTCTCCTGGCAGCTTTGCACTGAATACTTTTAGCAAGTTTTCCATCTACAATAATTCAAGCAATACCGTCCTTAGTCAATACACCTGTGTATCATTTGAGAAAATGCTTTACATACAGTCAAACTTCAATTACTCGAACAATGATAGCTTGAATACTATGACATCTCAAATTTTATACTTAGTCCCATCAAGTTTGAAATACTAGGGCTTGACTGTACATGTATGTCCTTTATCCTTTGAAAATATAAACTGACCTCTGTAGGTAGATTTTTGATGATCTCCACATCCCCTAGGTTGAACCCCACCACTGAAGGATGGACAACACACATACAGATCAGGTACCACAGGTCCTCACCCAGTACTCCAGGGGGCAGCAACTGAAGGAAAGAATCCATTATTAATCATGAATAATCCCAGCTGAACTACAGTGTACTCTAAAGACAAAAAACTATCTCATCAAGGATTTATAAATAAACAGTATGTAATTAGTAAAGAAGATAGGAAATATCTGTTTTGGGCAAAAAATCAACAGTTTTTTTTTACAACTTGTATACACTGACAACTCATTAATACAGAGTAACATTTAGGTTACCTTCTTTATGGAAGGACTTCTGGCCACTAAGATACAGAAGAAATCCAGTGTCCTCACCACGGCTGTACATTTAGTCCTAAACAGAATAGAAAAGCAAAGTACAGTGTATGGTATATTTGGGAGAAAAAGTACCACCTACAATGAAACAATTATCTTTTTACACTAGTCAATAAAAGATTTCCTTTAATTTTCTTTGCTGAAAAATAAAATGTGTCGTGTCTATAGCAAAAAAAATGTATATCAACTTTTATTCTCATACTAGAAGTACTTGTGAGTTTTGAGACCTTCTTTAGCTTACAAATATTACTCACTGCAAAATACTTTTCAATTTTTTTGTTTTAATGTTCCGTTTTTTTCTTGGTTGTAAAATAAGTACTGGCAGATCAATTTCAAACAGACCAATCAAAAATGTTGCCAATAATAGATAATTTACTGTACAATAAAAAATCCTGCATTTCCATTACCTGTTGTATTCATCCTTTTCTTTAGGAGTGTAGACATCAGTCAGTGGTTCGTGTGGAAACATCCCAGCTACTTCCTCTACGTCCTTCATCACAACCTTACCCAAGAAGTGCTGCATGGCCTGGAACAGCCTGCTCTGTTTCTGTCCATCACCTTAAAACATCACATAATATACTAAAATGGATCTTAAAAACTGTCTTTAAAATGAGCCATTTTCTACAATATTTGTGTACAGGGTGTAAAAAATTTTAGCATATGAAAATAATGGTTTCCTTGTTTTATGTATACACATCTCATCTTTTAAGTCAGCAATCGCAGGAATCGTGTACTTGATACAAGCTACAACAGTGCACCAAAAGAATTTGTAGAGTACTTTTAACAAGCTGAAAGCAAAATCAAATGCAAGGATCACTTTACCTTGGAAAATATCATCAGGGGTGAGCAGCTGTTCTCCAAATGTCCAGATGTAGCAGTCTAGAGCGGCCAAATAATGGTCAAACCAGGACACGGCATTCTGTATGGAGAATGAGGAATCAATAGCGGTCATCTCAGGACAGGACAACAAGCCGTACTTCTGCTGCTTACCCTCAAATCTATAAATAGTTTACCATATTAAAGTTCATTAAATATAGGAGACATCTGTAAGTGTTCCTCTCACATGGGTATACAGTTATTACTGTAAAATCACATATTTTTGTGGGGTCAAAATTTCATGGTTTGAGGAAGAACTCTTGGTTCGTGGGGATTTGATTTCATGGATAAGGAACTGTTAAGAAGGTATGTGTGTAACATTTTACATTTCATGGTGGAAATGAAATCGTGGGTCTCTTCATACCTTGAAAACACCGAAAATTAAACCTCCACAAAAATTTGTGATTTCACAGTACATGTATATGAAAAATATAGTCTCTGTGTGGAAATAGTTTACCCTTTTCATCCTCAAAATGAATTGAAAAATTACAATAAAATATACCTATTTACTCTTACCTTATTATAAAATAAGCTGCCTTTTCACTCTTATAAAATGTCTGGAAATAGTCTTTGGTTGACTTGATACCTGAAAATATAAGATGTGGTTTAATGGATGCATTTGCAAGTAAAATCTTAATCTTTTTTGTTGAATAATTCAATTCCAATTCCAAGATTATGCCTGTTTATAGTAATTTACATGTAAGTAAATTGGAAATAATAAAATAAAATGTTGGGGGGGGGGGGGGGGGAAATCATGTTTACAACTTTGGTGATAAAAACAGCTTTATTTTAAATATCTATTTTAATCATTACCACATACCCGTAAAACAACCCCCACAGACTCTGTACAAACAAAAGAGTCATGTACAAACAAACACAGTCAAATTCACAGAAACAAAATAAAGACATTTCAGAAACATCCACATGCCCCATAATTTTGGAAATGGGTTAAAACCATTTTGTTCACTCATTTACCGGGGTAGACTGAAATTAATTTCAAAAGTTATCAGTGTAATTGATCACAAACATACATATACCTGTTACTCAAGCATTTATTTTCATAATGAAAACCAAAATTCATGAACAAATGGTGCTGTTTAGGGATTTATCTATGGAAAATGTACAGATGTATCTAAAAATTCACTACATGATTTAGTTGACTATATCAAAAATTGATGTACAGTATGAACCATGTTAGACAAGTAGTTTAGCACTACAAAAACCCTGTATCAGGGCAGTTAGTGCAATTACATGTAAGTGACATATGCAACAGATTATTGACATCATGAAATGATGTTCTTCCCTGTCCAAAGTGGTTCAGTTCACTGAATCCATATTTTTTTTTACAGTATATGAGATGGATATGTTTACCTGTAATACAGGGAGCTAACTGATGAACCAGCTTCATACAGGCATGTCTACATTCTGTCTGGGGGCGACCGCACTGTCTCATCAGCCAGCGGACGGCAATGTCTAACTTACGGACACTCCACTGTCTACAATACAAAGACACCATAAAAAAGACATAGAAAGTCTATACTCCTTGTGCAGAACATTATACTTGAGGGTTCAGAAAGTGGATATGAACAATAGGAATGATTCTTACTTGGGCTCAGTTCTGTTTTTATCTTCCTTGCTTAGAACAGCAGCTTTCACTTTCATGATCCTCTCCATGTGTTCTAAGACCAGCTTACACTGTGTCTGTGTGCCTGATGGAAATAGCAAGACTTGAATACTGTCTTATCATGGGAAATTTCAGTAAATTCACAACATGTTAACAGTATAACACAAATACATATTTTCAAAGAAAGAGGCTACAAACCCAATGATAATTCATCCTCATGAGCAATGGCCAAACTCTCTACAAAATGTACCAATACTTGGAAAGTGTATAAGTTCACCATGGCATTGTCCTCTCTGAAAAATGAATAAAACTGAGGGGGGAAAATTCACAATGAAAATGTGTAACACCTATTGCACTCTTGTCTATTTAACTCATGCTGAACATGATAATAAATATATGTCTTATTCATGGACTGTTTTCTGTTGTCTTCCAAACCAACCTGAACACTGTGTAGATGTTATTAAATGCCAGGGCTGCTCCCAATCTCTTGAAGGCTCCAGGATGAAGTGCATAACTGTATAACCTCTTCAGCAGGGACTTAGCATTGATGGGACTCTTTTCAACCTACAGAATAAAAATCTTAAACTCAATCTTTTTTTTCATTTTTTTTCTATAATGAATCATAAATAAAAATAATTTCTCTCCATCCATGCTTGTCTGGCAATTACATCTATCAACTTTACATGTACATCTCATCTTCAAATAACACATTCAAGGTAGATGTATCTACTCATAGATAGGTGTGGATTGATGAACAAAGGATTATGCTGACTACTACCATATACTGGATAATTTTGGTATGCTACACAAGTTACTTGTAATCTTAATTCATAGTGCTGCAGTGGGTCTTACATTTTTAGATTGTTTGATGGACCACTTCAGGAACTCTCTCAGACAGACTGCACAAAAATCCCTCAAAGCTGTGTCATTTGGCTGAATAATACCATCCTAGAATTAAAAGAAAAAATACTCATAGTTCTTCCTGTTGTAATCATCTTGATAAGTAGAATTTCTAATTAAATCAATTCTTATTAGTTAATTCATCTTACATAGATGGCATCCAGTAATGCCATAGATTCCTCGCTCTCTGCTTTGTTGTTCTTTGTAAACCAGTGGATTAGCTGCATCAGCAATGGCTCATACAACTGTTTGGTCACCTGCAAAAAATACACAAGTACATTTTTGAAACATCTCATCCAGTCAATACTTAAAGTTAAAAGTAATCAAACAAAATACTAGTATACTGAAATCTGACAAAAATCTGACAAAAAGAAAGAAGAAACTGAATAATTTTATGCCTTCAAAACCATTACAGGATACTGACCAAATCTACATCACAAGCCAACTGGAGGATGCTGGGAAACATTTTTTTGTAGATGGGGGCCATTGAGAATCGCTCCCTGCCCGGAGTTGTAGCGCTGCGCCCCACACTGAGCAGTATAAGGGAGTGAAGCAGTTCACAGGCCGCTACCTTTGTCTGTCTGTCTCCTGATTTAGTGGCCAGCTCCACAATACGAGGCAGAAATGGATCTTAAAGACAGAGATTGCACTAATGATATGCACTTTTTACACAGTTTAAGAATCACTTGCAATTTTAATGTTTGTAGGCTCAGTAATCCCTATTCATATAATCAGACTGCAACACACAGCTCTCAAAACATTTTCGTGACCCTGAGCCCTTTTGAATTTCCATAGAAGCATATCTAATAATTTACATTACTAAAGAAGTACTTTTTTCCGCGTGGTATTATTTTACGCTATGTACGAGGTCACAAATTTTCCATGGAAATTTGTCCAAGCGTACTTAATATTAATGTAAGGCATATAGGGACAGTTTAAGAAATCCGCGTAATTTTCCTCCCGTGGATTAAACAGAAATTGTGATTCCGCAGAATTATGACCCCGCAGAAAAAAGTACTGTACGTCTACAGTATTTTTTTAGCTTAGAAAAATTCAAACTTTCTGCATTTTGAATGCAAATTACACTGAATAAACCATGAATCTGACACAATCTTTTATCAACAATCATGTGTCCTCACCAAAATATATCTGAGGCTTCATGTCAATAAACGGCACATCAAATCTGAGATGCTGTTCTGTGTCCCATGAGATGGCCTCCTCACAAACATCACTCCCTGACAGGAGGGCATGATTCACCTCTCCCCCCAGTCTCCCTAAGTAATTCATCACCCTCTGTTTCACTTCTGCCAACTGAGTCTGAAAAACCTACAAAGAAACATTCAATCTCAACACTGCACAAAATTACAGAGGAGGTCCAAAGTATAGATATCTTTAAAAAGAGATTACAACAGTATTTATGTAATGGTGTAGAGTGACTTTTACCATTACCTGTTTGGTTTCAGTCTTGGGTCCTTTGACGATTCTTACAGACAATTTCTTTCTACCTTTCCCACTTTTTCCTTTCCCCATTTCCATAGTATTGACACTCACATCATCAGCTCCTATCAAAGATATTTATATTCTGTAGTGATTGATATAGTTCAGCAAGAGATCAAATGTGCCTAAGATTCCTTAATAAGAGGTTTATAGAGAAACCGAATTAAATAACAAACAACATTCAAAAGACAAATTTATTTGAGATTTTTACAAATTTTTAATTATATACAGTAAGAGTCATAGCAGGCTATATACAGTTACCTCTGGTGTAAGATTAGACAAGATATTATTTTTAATTTCAAATAATGATCCATATATATTCCCTACAATAAAATCATATAAATAAACTTGTAACTGATTTATAAAGTCACTAACCCTGATCCACAGTTTTGAGGTAGCTGTTCAGACATGGCAAAATCTGAGGGTAGTACTGTTGTATAACAGAGGGGGGCAGGGTGTCTGACCAGTAGTTCAGGGCATCTAACGCAATCATAGCTAGGGGCAGATAACCCAGACCTATCGACAATGTCAACTGAAACAAGACGTAGAATCATCATACATAACACATAATGTAGAACCACTTCAACCTGATTTCAAGAGTCAAGTGCAGTGATCAATATTCTCCATTTCTAAGTCATGCCATTTTTATTGTTTATACCTGTATAGCTGGTACCACACTGGACATTTGCTCTGAGACAATTTCTTTGGGTAGGGTTAAGATAAAGGTCAGACAGGCAGCCAGCAGGTCATCTTTGTACTGCTTCATTCTAACAAGGACCTACATACAAGTGGAATAAAAGAAAAAAACGATTTTATGCTATGTCGAAACTTCTTTTTACCTAAAGTCCAGCTAAAATCTTAAAACATTTCCATGTCTTATCTCAGCTAGTAAAATGGGACATTTCTAACCTCCTTGGTGAATTTCTGAATGAGCTGGAAACAGGTAGCCTTCTGATGGATGTCTGTCTTTTGATCAGAATCCACCTCCATTTTTATTTCTTTCTTCACAGGGGAAAGACTGACCATACCCTGAACAAGCAGAATGGTAAATTCATATAGAAGCAATTAATTAATTGACTGTAAAAATAAACAATTTGTAATAATTTGTATGCCTATCAATATTTTTCATACCTGAAAGTAATTCAGTTTATTTGCAATCTTCATACAGACAGCCAACAATTTATAGTATCCACTGACCAAAGGCTTTCTGAAATGTAAAAGTTAAGTACAGTTATCAATAATTACATTTTGATTTTTCTATCTATACTTGTAAGTACTTATACATTTTATCTTTATAAAATTGAGCCCCTAAAGTTCTTGTGAAAGTGAACCAACTCCCCTTCCTTTTTATGCCTTTTCTGCTGATTTTTACACAATTTGAAGTTTTTAAATGTTTTTAAATATGGTGCATACAAAGTTTCAAGTGTGGCAGCTTGAAAAATGTAGCCTACTCCAACATGATATGCATTCTAGTTTCCCCTCTGTCTTTACAGAGTTTGACATTTTGTCTACTGATACACAATGATAACCAGTCCTTACTCCGTAGACTGAAGAATCAGGGTGTGGCAAAACAGAAACAGCCATTTCTCAAACATCCCATAATGCTTCTCTGGAAGGACCTCCCTGTAAAAGAACAAAAACATTTTACTGAATTTCTTGCATTGCAACATACAATGTGTTTATTTTTGGTCTATTGTTTAATTATCAATGCAACCATTTATTATTCAATGAAATTTAATTGGAAAAAAGTTGCTGTACAGTCATATAAGGAAAATGGAAATTGTATGTGACCTGCAAAAATCTACAAGGTTTATGAAGATCTGGAAGTCTTTGGGTTTGCTGGGTTGTATTCCATGAAGTGGGTCACTGGACACTTCCTCTGGGTCATCAGCACTTGTCCCTTCCTATAACAGAAACAAATCTGTATAAAGAGTGTTTAAACCACCAATTGTAAGGAAAATTCTTTACACTGTTTTTACATTTGCATATTTGTACAATATATATTGTATGTTTAGGGTTTTTTTTTTTTTGAAGAACTGATGCACATGTACCATTTGTTGTGCACAAATTCTCATAAGCATAAAGCAAAAGAACATATTTCAAATTAAAGTAAAAGAAATTTTGAATTTTTATACACTTAATAAAGAAATATATTCCCATAAGAACCACTGAACCTGTTGTTGTGCGACTTCAGTGCTGGACTGTGATGTCAGGTCTAGCTTGCCCAGCATCTTCAGTAAGGATTCTATCAGTTTGTTGTAGATCTCTTCTGTGAGGGCCAGTCTCATTTCTACACTGATATCAGCTACACTGAATTCCTGTAATAAAATATTACAAAGCCTGTCACATTCAATTCCAATAGAAAATCAAAGGTAATATCTGTCAGTAATGCATGTCACATTATTCCCATATAATTCCTCAAATTTTGTGCTTATACCTACTGTAAAATAATATTTTTGAGGGGTAAAATTTATATGGTTTGAGGAAAAACTATGGGTTCCAGTAGATTTGATTTCGTGGTTGAAGAATTTTTGTGTAGTTATATGTACAGTATGTATATGACATTTTACATTTTGTGGTGGACATGAATTTATGGGTCTATTCATACCTCTTCAGCAATAAAAATTAACCCCCATAAAAATTAGTGATTTTTTTCACAGTATTTTCAAATGAAAGTTTTACTGTATTTCAAATTGCTGTACTTTACTTTTGTATTTTTTGGCTTATTATCTAGATTTTCCATCAATTTTACTTATGATTTTACCAGGACTCAGAATAGAATGTACAATGATGTATAAGTACATTGTGATTTACCTCAACACCTTTTGTGCAATTTGAAAATATCTGAACTTGATACAATGCTAAACCAAACTTTGAATACTTTCACATCATACACATGTATTTGTCCTCATCTTTTAATCTTTTCTAACCTTGATCCTGGGGCTGTTGAAGAGAGTGTCCCACATTTCAATGAAGTCCTTGTAGGTCACCTTGTTTCCCATCTGTTCTGACTGATTGTTCTCTGTCATGTCTTCTGTTTCAATCACTGGTGGATGGGAGCAGGTTCGGATCAGCATTTGGTACACTGTAAAAGTCAAATCAAAGAGGTTTATATCAGGATGTGTTACACTGTAAAAGTCAAATCACACATTGAACTCTTTAATGATAGTGGAAATAACAATAAATTTAGTTCATTTCAGTGTATGCTAGACTGTAGCCTACAAACAAATCAAAGTATGTTTCCTAGTATCTGAACAGCTGTTTAAATTCTTGTTCTGAAGAAATGTTTTTCTTACCAAATCCACTCAGAACTTGGGAAAACACTTCTCCTTTTGGCATAAGTGTTATCAGCACCCACAGTAAGGACTTCACTGCCATGAAATGCTGCTTCTGATGAATTGTGGGAAAATTTTCAGCCAGGATGATCATCAGTCGTTCAATGGATGTGGCATAGGTTTCTGGTACCTGAGAAAAACGAACAAACATTACCCAGTAATGGCACATTAAATTCTACTGACATCAACATTACTGTAATACATGTGTATATTTCCAAAGTCTTACATGGTCTAGCTCTCTGATGATATTGGCCAAAGCCTCAAGGTAGCTTGGTAAGCTGTAAAGTTTATCCTCTACATCTGCTTTCTCTGAGCTTATAAGTAAATCAAAGAATCATAATCTAGAAGCAATGTTATGTTATGTACATTCAAAAGCAGTGTTACAAGAATATTGATACTAGTTTGACAAAGAAACATGTACATGTATACCAGGGTTGCATTTCAAGATTGTAGAAGCTAACCTTGCAGCTAAGTGGTGGATATCGAGCTCTCTTGAAGAGACAGCTCACCTAGCTGCTAGGTGTTCGATTTTGGATTGAAATATCTTAAGTACTACTAAATTGCTTAAAGAATCAAGCAAGTGTCATTTGTATATAAAAAATTCCAATCTTATAAAATTCTTGATTCATTGCACCTAAGGCTAAATTACGTAATAGTTAGATCATATTAAGTAAAATTTTAGTGGTTAAGAAGGGGCGGAGGGAGCGAAGCGACAGAGTCCCCTCCTTAACCACTAAAATTTTACTTAATATGATCTAACTTACTTAGAACCTATCGCGCTTTTTCATTGGCTAATTAGTCAGCCCGCGGAGTTACTGCATAGACATAAAATCTTAACAATTAAGTGATCAACTTAATAGAAAATTTAGCAGCTGCTGATTGGAGGAAAAAGCGAATTAGGTTCTAAATGTGTATAGTACCAGGTATTTTTATGTGGTATACCTCAGATACAGTTGTTCACTCTTAGTCATCATCTCACTGAACATAAACTGGACATCAGTCTGCTCCAGGAACTCTCTGCATGGCTGTCAACAATTGTTGAATAATAATGACAGATAAAATTTCATAAAAGCACTGATATCTTTAAATTTAAATACATGAAATTTGGATCTACTCACTGCTGCCAGCAAGCCATATCCTCTGATAGCTAAGGACAGCTCTTTAGAACTTGCGGAACTGTCATTCATAATTTCTCGAAACTTTGTCACAAAAAACTGGAAAAAAGATGAATAAATCAGTCAATTGAAGTATATATGTGAACAAAGCAGAATATAGATTTAGGGAGCTACAAATACCTTAAACACAGCCCCTTCCCTCTTTCCTTCTTTGGCTTTGGTTACTAGAACTTCTGATATCTAAAAGTTTTTTACAGAAGAAAAGAATATTAGTTCCATGTTATTGTTAAATACTTATTACTGTAAATCAGCTTTTATTTGCATCAACCTTTATTTCTAATATGTTATTTAAAATCTATCAGCAATTCCTAATTTTCACAAACAAGGAACAATTGTACATAAATGCTTAATGTAATGAAAAGTTTGCAGTGAGAAAGAGTCTCGAGTATAAAAAGGATTCAAAATTCCTGGATATTTCTTGCATATGACTAAAAGCTCATTTACTGTAACCAAAATACATTTTTATACAAAATCTTAAAGAAGAGCTGTCAAACTTTTCATTATATGTCTATCTGTACCTCTACCTTGGACCATCTATGGTTTCAAAACGTGCTCAAATACTGTACCTGATTTAAAAAGGCCTCCATGGCTGCAGTCCCCAGATGAAGCAGATCTCTATTGTTGTGCTTACTCCAGCTTTTTAGTTTGTTATACATACCCTGAAAGTAATATCTTTAATTTGAGTTTAGCATATTTTATCTGAAAAATAGTACATATCTGGCATTTCAGATCCTTACTGATATGTCTATTTACAGGTACTTGTTTTGTTGAAATGCCTAGATTTTCCATACTTTTTTCCAAAAGCTTTTTGTACAGATCTCATTTACATTGGTGCATGATTATTTATGAATTATGAGTACTAAAAAAGTGAACTTGAAGGCAACAGAAAAATTCTGTCAGTAACACGGTTGGCACAATGTGTGTATGGTATAACGTTAAATCATTACTTTCAGTTTTTCTTGCCATCGAAATAAAATCTTTTTTTTTTAATTTGATGGTAAGTGTAATTATCAGTTTACACAAAAAGGAAATTCATTTGACTGAATAAATGGGTAGATCACTAAATGTCATCTGGCAGCGTATATATGTACATTAAGGATAGCTATGTAAAAAGTATTACATTCAGAAAAGCACTAAAGTAAGAATGTGTACATTTTTTATTCTTTATTACAAGAATTTTTTAAAGAAAATATGTATATATATACCAGTAAAATGATATTTAGAATGCCATAAATAGTTTTTTCTTACTATACCTGATAATCCTCTGCCAAATGGGATCTAAACTGGGCAGAATGTCTCTCGAACAGTTTAAGTCCGGCTCTAGGGACATCATAGCGAGTATAGTTTATATCAGGATCTATGGCCATTCGAGCATATTTGAATATTTCATAACTATTTGAAGAGTCTAAAATAAAAATAAAATAAGTAATATATCAGCAAGGAAGAAATGAAACTTCAGAGTTCAGACTTGTCATATATGTTAATTGCTACATTTAAACCTATTTTTCAACATAAACATTTTTTCTTGAAATTGTCAGCATGTAATACAGTTAAATTTACTATAAATAAAACAATTAATCCTGCAAAACCTAATTCTAAATGTAGTGTTTTGTTATATTACTCACCTTCGTCCACTGTGAAATTGACAAGGCAGCTGGCCAGACCCTCCAGACAACCACTGATCACTGCCAACTCGGGCTTCTTTGTTTTACTAGTCATCTACGAATGTAGAAAGTACAGTTTGTTACTGTCTATATCAAACTCATAGATGGTCAGAGAAAGATTATCTTTATTAAGATCTACATGAAATTTTGTGAATGCATTAAAAGCTTTTTTTTTCTGAAACAGCTACTAACCTCTGCTTTAAGGGCTCTAAGATATATGTCTGTTAGTTTACTGGCATACTCAGTCATGTGTTCTGGGTATATCTCAGCTAGAAGTCCCAAAATCACATAAATGCTCTCCTTCACTGTCAACATCAAAAATATTTTTAAATTTTCTTTTAGAAAAAATATCAAATGATATAACTGATCTTTTTGAGGGAATAGGAAGGGTTGTTTTGGTTCCACCCAAAATAGATGTTTGCTAAGTGTTCACATTATACAGTAAAGTCAAATATTCAGTAAGGTTCCACAAGACACAAGTTGCTTTTACTGATGTTTACCTGATGCTGGTAGCTTGGATACACTCTTTGTTAGTTCCATGAAGAATTTGTTAACCATTTTATCAATGCCCAGATCCTGGGCACTAGCAGACCCAACAGACAATTCTAAAACCTAGGAAAATATAATAAAATTCCATTTAAAATACATCATCCAGGGTTTAAGAAAATATGCAACAAGT